AAATAAATAAATAAATACAATCCCCAAATAACGAATAAGATGATGATCGGAGGTTCTGACATATAGGAGAAAATAGTAACACTGCAGAAAACTCACAAAGAACATGAGACAGATCGAGAAATCCAAGTGAACTTTCACCCCTGTTAGCGGTTATCAGTTAAGTCCCTATCATCGTAAAGCGCTTGTTCGATATGGTTCTCAAATACAACGGGTGAGATATATTTCTTTTTGTGTGTGTGATATTAGAACTTCTAATTAAACCAATCACTAAAACAATTTTTGAGGAGAAGCGTCATGAGCGCAAGTCTGTTTTGATAATTGTTTTTTGATCGAGGTTTTCGTCTCAGTATTACTTGCATGTGAACAAAACGACAGCTTCACGCACCGATAGGCTAGGAACAACAACTCACGGCGCGTTAATTGAATTTTGAATGGGCAGGTAATAATCGATGGGCACTTTCCCAGGCACTAATTTAAATTAAAGTCAAATGTTTCATTCGGGATTCAACTGAGAATAAAGAATATTATAGTTAACACCTTAAGTTTATGTGAAAGCAAAACCAACAGGGAGGTTATTTTTATCACCGAGTTGGTGAATTGCGCCCTCTTGTTCCTATTTGGTATTTGAAGGTAGCGTGTTGATGGACTACTCCCCCATACACGCACCAACTCAGAGAATGGCATAAAAAGAGACAATTCGAGAAGGTTTACTTATCCGGTCGCGGGGTGATATCGAACATCGGGCAGTGGATCTACAGGTGGTTTTGTGGTAATTTCCTGTATCTATGTGTTTATATTACTCCGCAGTTCCAAGTATGTTCTTTGAAGTTGTGTGACGTCAACAAAAAAATAAAACGGATGTAAACTAAATTCAAATAGAATGATTTTCAGTAAAGCCCAAAACACAGTAACGATGAATGTAAGTCAACTCGTACATGCACATGCAACAAATAAATCGATACCATCGGTGCGGCGAAACGCGTCGATACTGGGGTTTAGGGGGCATATCACGTGCTGAACATTGATACATCACGTGCACAGACAAACTAAGAAACACTGCGTACCACCACACTTTCTGTGATTCCATACACAGTACGTGATCCTTTGTGAATAGACCCTGGCAAGTTGGAACATGTCTCGCAGGCTTTCTATTGTATTCAACGAAAGAATCACTTCCGAAGTTTCAAAACAGGCCGCAAAAGAAAAGAGGTGCATTAACGGTACCATCACGTCGTAAAGTGGTACTTTGTCAGTGAGGTCGAGGGGCGAAGGGGTAAATCACCAAATTACTGTCTTTGACATGTAAAGTTTAAAATCAGGGTAAAGTTCGATATGTTTAAAATGTGTTTCGTTCGGCCTCCTTCGTCTTGGTTAATTATCTATTTAGTGAAGGTAGCCAAACTGTGTGAGTGGCTCTAATACGAAAATGAAACAGTGACATTGCTAGAGGTCACATCGTTCTTGATAGGAACGCTTATACTAGCCCTAGGTAAGGCATATTAAAACAGTCTAGTTCCACAGTTTTTTTAGTAAACGAATTTCTGAAACACTAATTATACCCATAAACAATCCCACGAAAACACGCACGCGCGCGCGAAAGCATTATATATATATGTATATTACATTCACATAATTATTGATAGTTCGCGTGGGCTTTCCGTAAACGTGCGCAGTATAAGTTCCGCCGTCTGTTAAATTATGACTGTTTTCTGACAGTAACCACGTCATATATGTTGTGAGACTGTCATTGTCAATGGCACTTTAGACGGATATCAAACCACGCCTGGTTAGACGTTGTACATGACGATCAGAGCATTCTGTCGGCGTGAGAACGTTTTTTTTGTCTTCGTTCGTGTTCGACATTTGACTGTTTGAATGAGAAAAATGTCAACAGCACGGATGTCGATTAATTTCTGCTTGGGTTGGTATTTTAATCAGTTATTGTTTCGTGGCTTCCCTGGCGGTTTTTTATATAGATCAGTCACGAACGCTGGGATTTCGAAAAGACCGCGCGCGTGCACATAACAAGG